CCACAATTATTTTTAAAAAATACTACATCATAATCCTTAATAATACAAGGATAGAAAACAATAACAAAGCACAATTTACAATTTCTGTCCCAAATATATCCCTATAAAGTTCCATCAAATTGAAGAGATCTCGATGTGAAAAGTAGAGGGACTCTAGATGGTGGAAGTGAATCGGATTGACTAGCAGGAGAGGTTGGGGTTTTAATCAAATATCTTATGTTGATTTTGTTTTGTAATCTGATTGATTGCCACAAGTTTTATGTTTATTTATGACGAGTGCATATCCACTACCACTATTGGACCGGCCCGTTACTTAAACAAAGAGTTCAAACGACTCTAGTAGGGCGGCGGAACAACATGAGTACGAGTAGGATTCCGTCTCCGTCAAGGTAAATCCAAGCCTATAAATAGGGTTGGTCACACCACAATTGAGGTACGCTATCTATAGCACCAATTCGCATACACACATTACTTCACAACCCTATTTTCTGACTTAAGCATCGGAGTGTCTACCCTCGGGAGATTTCCGAAGCTCTGTTTTACAGGCAACCATAATCAGAGTTCCACAGTTGAGCCGGAAGTGCAATTCCAGGCTTCATCTAGTGGCACATCCAGTGGGACCCAAGAACGAGGGTTTGTGTCACAAAGCTTGCTCAAGCTTTCAACGTTTCTTCAATCTGTTACCACCACTCCAAACTAGGATTTTTCTGAGACGTGATGGCCGTAATTGACAACCCTCAATCCAGTGCTGCATCAACGGGTAGGCAACAAAGCCCCGAAGACAACGAAACCCTAGCGGGATTCCAGGAGAGGCAGAGACGGAAGAAAAATGACCGGCGGTCGAGAAGGGAAAAAACCCTCACCAGGCCAACTAGTCGTGGGGGTGAAAGGGAGGAAGATCCGAACGATCGTCGCAGGGCTCCCGATCCACATCACAAGCAGCTACTCATCGAGATCGAAGCAGAACTAAAAAAGTTGAAGTATGATAATTCCTTCAACCAGGGGAAAAAAGGTATATACTGTCTTACCTCGACGTACAGGCACAGCGCTGGTTCGGAAAATTACCAGAGGGGAGCATCAACAGTTTCGAGGATCTATCAGTTAAATTAGCCACACGATTCTTCCCTAGCAAGCAGATCACAAGAATGTCGATTGACTTATCCTCGATCAGGTAAGGACAGAATGAGGGCCTGTCTGACTTTCACCGTCGGTTCACTCGAGAGACTCTCCAAGTAGACTACCTCAACGACAGAGACATACAAAATGGGTTCATCCAAAGACTTAACCCATTCGGAAAATCTGCGATTTTAAGGGTGAAGTTATCTACCGAACCTCCTCAAAATACACAATAAATGTGGGCCATAGTGGAGAGTTACATTCAGCGAGAACAGACACTCAAGCGGTCACAAGAGTCCTTCTCGCTTGAAGGGGATCGAGGGGGAAAGGATAGGTACAAATCAACAACAGAAGTTAAAACATTATTGCCTAAGATCGACAGACAGTTGACTCCACTGCTAAAGTCTCGACGAGAAATACTCCAGATTCACAAGGATGAATTCCCGGTTCCAAAGCCTTTGGCCCATAATCTGAACAGGTCTACTGATCAATACTGTGAATACCACAAGGACCATGGCCATGATACTGAAGACTGTAGGGAACTTAAGCGAGAAATTGAAGCTGGAGTAAAGTCTGGAAAATTTCAACAGTATGTACAAGGTACACAGGGAGATCCTTGAGGAAAGGGAGGAAAGTTTGCGGTACCCCGTAACTTTCCCAAGCAAAATAACAATCGTTGTCCTCGAGGAGATAACCGAGTAAATAACTGGCAATCGAGGGGCAACTCACAACAACCTGGCCAACAATCCCTCGACGGGGGACCACAACCTATCTAGCAGGTTCCTCCCCCTGATCCTGCCAAGCAAATTACTCACAATGTGGAAGCTATGTATGGCGCCTCACTTGAAGTTCTGTCTACAACTGCAGTGAAGGCTTCGATTCGAGAAGTAATTAAGACTCCCTCCCCCCCCCCAATAACCGAGCCATAAGCGGTTTAAGGGAACGAAACGATAGTTTTCGCAGATAGCGATGTGGTTCCTGGCATCTATCTGCACAGTGACGCTATGGTTATCGAAGCCATCATAGGAAATGTCCACGTAAGCCGCATATATGTCGACAATGGGAGCGCGGTTGATATAATATACACTGATTGCTTCAAGAAGATGAACATAAAAAACCCAGATTGGTGCCCTGCCATGTTACCACTAATGGGCTTTTCGGGCACACGATAATCCTTATCGGAATTGTCAGGCTTCCTATCACGGTAGGGTCGCATCCTCGAAAAGTGACTCTAACAATGGATTTTGCCATAATCGATGCACCATTGCCATTTAATGTGATTTTAGGATGGCCGTGGATGTGTCAAGCCCGCGCTGTTTGGTCCCCCTACCACTTGGTCATGAAATTCCCAACAGAATATGGGATAAGAATGGTGCAGGAGTGCCAACGCAGTTCTCGAGAATGCCTTCTCACAGCGGTTAAAATTGGGAAAAAGAACGGTAAAGCCGGAACTAGCTGTCACCACATTAGGGTGTTACTCGGTTCAACAAGGAGTATCACCAGCCGAATCCAAGGAGGAGAAACAAGTTATGGATCTCGACTATCCTCATCAGCCACCACTCAGCAGTAAGACGGAGGAGTTGATCTTGGACGAGAAAGAACCTGAAAAGACAATCCAGCTTGGAACATCTATAGACGGAATGTTGCGAGCCGAGGTAATCGCCTTGCTATGCGAATTCCGAGACATTTTTGCATGGTCACCATCTGATATGACCGGAGTTCCTCGACAAGTCATCGAGCACAAGCTGAATGTGGACCCCAATGTCAAGCCAATCAAGCAGAAAAAGAGGATTTTTGCTCGAGATCGCAATTACGTTATTAACAAGGAGACGCTTAAGCTAGTTCGCGCCAACATCCTCTGAGAAGTCCTTTGGTCAACATGGCTGGCCAAGCCGGTCCTTGTCCGCAAACCGGATAACTCCTGGCGCATGTGTCAAGACTACACAGATCTTAACAAATATTGCCCCAAGGATTGCTATCCTTTGCCCGTCATCGGTCAAATGGAAGTGCAATTCCAGGCTTCGTCAATCTATTTTCTGTGATTTTTTTTAATTGAACTTGGCATCACCATTGAAAAGTAGCAGCAAGATTTCCGATAGCAACGAGTAAAATTTTAGTGAAAATGAAATAGATGATGGTTAATTGATACAGAAAAAATTATTCTTTTAAAAAAATTAAGCACAAGGGTAATGTTGATATTTAAGGGGCGACAAATAGCATAACCCATCTATTTCAATTTAGACGAAACCACAAAACTTGTAATCAATAAACTTTCATCACTATCAAGGAAAAGTTGTGGATTTAAAATTAATAGGCTTAAATTCATTTGATAGATGCATACTTAGAGATCACGAAAAAAGTGCATTAAACCAAAACGTCATTCATACCATTCAATCCACTGACTAATATTGTCCTATGCAGAAGGCAGGAAATGTCTGACAATTGACTCAGTTCTACCTTGCCTTCTTACCAATATACCATTCAGATCTTCCCTCTGACATGTACCTGGAAATGCAGCAGTTTGTCACGGTAGCAATCACTTGCTTCGCAAATTGTATTATTTCTTAAACTTTTTGACTCCATAGCTACCTTGCAGTCTCATTTTTTTTTCCAAATGAGACTAATGCGTGAAAGAAATTTAATCATTAACATTGAGGGAATATGAAATTCCAAAAACATCATTCTCCAACCACGGTTTGACACCCGGTTTTCTTAATTAAGATTTGTTTAGTTAATCCGTGATTTCTTTTGCTTATTTCTTTTTAGTCCTTTTGCTATGGGGTAAATTGTGGGCATTGAGTTAAGGAGATGCTGACATTTGGATTTTTTGGACAAATCATAGAACCTAAGGATTTTTAATCCACCAGCAGGCCAATATAAATGTCTTGGGGAATAAGCTAGGGTTTCATGAACTCAATCTCCCTTCAGCCTCCACACTCATCCGCTACCAAACAAGACCTTCTTAATTTCTTCCACCATATCGCCAATCGCAACAATTAGTGGCTGGATGTATGATCATAAGAGGATGGTGATATGGTCGTAGTTAGGTCCAAAACTCCCTTGCATTCCTAGCTAAATTTAATCTTCCTGCATCTTGCAATCATGGGCAAGGCTCCTAAGGATAAGATGTTCAGGAACTAGGAACCATAACTCTGGATGAGAAGTCACGATGCCTAGATGCCTGGAGCAAAAATGCAGAGGAAGAACCCAATTCCAGGCCGCCAATACCACCCACAACACCAATAAAATGAGCTCCCTTGAGTTCCTCGCTAATCATTTTGCAATTTTGCTAATGAGTTCAAACTATTGTTCATCTCAAATTTAGCGTATGTATGAGTTAAAACTATGAACTTGTTTTTCATCTCGAAGTCAATATATTATCATATTCAATGTTTAAGATCTCTATAATCTGTGTAATATTTATGGTCTCTCTCTTTGCCGATTCGCTTGCAAGAGTGTTGTTGGTCTAACAATGCCGTATGTAGATGGTAAATCCCTCATCCTTTTCGGCTTTTGCTCTCAGAAATCACACAACCAATTAACAAACAATGTAACACTAGATGTTCTCCCTCATCTCCTGCATTTTTTTTGCTAGATTTTTTTAGCATTCCTTCTGTCTAAAAACTATGGACAGCCAGTAATGGTAGAAGAACTTTGTATGCATCATGTATGTGACATAGTATTTTCACTCTTGTTCAATTCTGGTATACGAATTTCTATTTATTGGATTTGATTGAATGACTTACACTAAAATCCATATTTTTAATTATTTTTTTTAACTTTACAGGCTTGGTCCCCTGCATCTATGGTTGGACTTGTAGTGTGAGAGCTTGTTTGTATTTTGTAATGTTACTTTTTCGCACCTTCTGCCAAATGCAATTTACGTTTGGAAATGCACCCATAGAGTATGAAGTGGTCAACGAGTCAGATTTGGGAATGCAATTAACTAAAAACAGTAAGAATGCATCCCAAACAAGCCTTAACCAATGCTAAAAAAAGGAGTCTCCAAGTTTTCTCGAAAGGTTTGATCAACTTCCATCTTTAGATGTGTGTTTTTCGAGCTTCAACTATACAATTTCAGAATCAAAGTCATTCTCTATACGAGATGAGTTCTACAGAACGCACTCTATAGAGTCTGAGAAACTGCTAACCAGATCATTAAGGTTCATGGTTGATCTAGAGTAAGAATCTACAGACTAATGGCTAATGACCGACTTTGCAAATACGCATGAGGAAAGCTGTTTTAGATAAATTGTATAGAGCACTAAAGGGGAGCAAGCTCGTCCCCCCACGAAGCAGAACGGACACCCTTCCGTCAAAACTAAGAGAGCATCAAGTACCTAATAAACTCCTGATTTTGTCGCAATATTGTCGCATGCTCTGCCTTGTTTTTGGGAGCTGCATCTACTGCAACTGAAAATAATTGAAGAAGACATGATTCTGTTAGTTTCATTTGCCCCGGAGCAGCAATGAAAAATTCAAATGGTGGCATGGTTTGGCGCCGCTGTTAAATGAGAAACTAGATGAAGAAATGGAAAGAGACAGTAAGTTGCTTATAAAACTATGGAAAATAAATTGAGAGTTTCCCTCATTTTCTCATTTTCTGAATGAGTATTTACTCTGTAAAAAGTTCATAGCACAAGAGTTCACCTTCATTTCTCCAAAAATTTTGGAGGAATACTTACCCCAGATGCGCAGATTAGAAAAATGAAGCCAAACTTCTGCCAGTAAAGAGCATTCCACTGAACTGGCTGCTGCAAAATTGAGGAACACTGTGGAATGAGACCCAAGCTAACAGAGCATTCAATTAAGACTGGCATTGATACTGTGGTCCTCTGTCATCCCTCAAATAACAAGGTGCAAATGCGAATAGACAGCATCACAGAAAAGAACTGGAATATCAAGATAATTAGTATCACTCTGAGCTAAAACAGTGGCAGTTGCCAAATTTGTTTGACTTTTCTTCCTCGCTCCAATTAAAAAAGTAGAGATCATCTTTTCATATTAGTGAGGATATACCTGATTGCTGTAGAGACATAATGGAAGGACTATCACAAAAGCAACAAAGGACTAGCTTTGGGGCTATCATTTCAGCATTTGCGCCTAACATGTCTGATTCTATTTTTAAATAAAACTGAAGTTGAATAACCAAAAATCACTAAGACCTAAATGGGCAGGCTAAAGCCCTACGAGCTTTGCATCTAAATGAACTAACAGTCTTTAACAGATGTACATGTGAGAATTGAAGCATGCAAAGAATCATGACTACCCTAAAGTCCTTGCTTTGTTTCCACCAGAAGGATGCCATGTAACTAACTGACATGAAAAGTTACTTATTCTCTTTTTCCAATGGAACCTCAAATAAGTCTAATCCACGATACTAATTTCAGAAATATAAACAGATAAAGAACAGCCAAACAAGGGGTGAACCAGGGATTGATAATCCATTCATCTACAATAAAACCAAAATGTTTTCAGTTGACCATGAAATAAGTGGCGAGGCAGGCTAATGTTGATTTTTTAATGGTCTGTATACTCCATTGGCAATGATGAAATCTTTCTGAGTGGCGTAAAGATTTTTTAAGGCCTAAAAAGAAATGATAAACTTGGATTCCCCAAACGAAAGACATCAATATCTAGGAACTATCCCAAATGAAATCTTTCTTTCTTCTCAATCGAAAAGAGAATAAATCAGTTCCCCCAACGACAGGTGAATACTCCAACAAGAACTTACCAAACACCACCAAAAACTAACACGGAGTATCAGAATTGACCTCGAATTGAAATCGTTCCATATCGTAACAAACTAACAATCATAGTCTAAATACATTTGGCCAATACCACATAATACATATCTAGTTATTTCTAAATCCACAATGAACGAAATTAGAAGGAACAGAGAGGGAAAATTGACTTAGCATTTATCTCCTCCTTATTCATCAACATAAAACCCCATCAAAACCCCAATCAAAATATGACTATAAGTTAGTTCAGATGGAAAAAAAAAAGTGAATACCAGAAAAGCATGGGAGACCTTGATGAACTGAGAGATGTCCTGGGGTAGCCTCGATAGCCAGCTGACAAACGGAAAAGGGCCCCAGCCAAAACACATCTTGGGTGAATTTTGATACTTCCATCATTCATACCAGAAGACAGATTGTACGTCCGGGAAACACAATCAAGAACATAAGAAGAAAACTCCCAATTCGAGGGCTAATTTTTTTATGTACTCCGCTCAAAGTACTTGTTTGGACGTCAACTTACATTTCATTTTCCCACTTAAAAGTGGAAAGTGTTTTAAATTGAAAACTAAATGGGAAATAAAAATGTTGTTTGAATATTGGTTTTGAAAAAAAGTATTTTGAACTACATTTTGAAATATCAAGTACAAGTCATCACTAAACAATTAAATACTGTCAATTATAGTCACTGAAAAAAAAGAACTTTTCCAAAAATAATCATTCAACAAAAAAATCCTGTCAAATTTGTCACTGAACTATTTGTAGTTCTAAAATGGTCATTACACTAACAAAAAGTGTTTCAAGTTGGAATTTAAAATGTAAATCAGAAAGTTGTTTGGATGATGTTTTTCTTTTCCATTGGGTTTTGTGTTTAAGAGGTAAAATGAGTTAAAATGTAAAATGAGTGGACGTCCAAATAACTTTTTCGGAGATTCGGTGGTTGTTTTTTCACAAATTGATTCGAAACTTCAACCTTTTGAACTCCAGAGATGAAATTGGTGATAAAGATTTAATGGCGGTGGCGGCTTCGGGATTTTGGATGGTCGCGGATGACGTCGACGACCATGGAGAGAAAGAGGCAGTGCGTTAATGGGAGAGGTACACATAAAGAAAGACTGGACGGAAGGCAGTCTATTTTCACCATAAGAGATTAGGGTTAATATAGTCATTTCCTTGTTCTTGCCATCTGACTTTTCAGTTTAACCAGTCAATAACCTTATGTTATATTGGGAAAATTTGATTAAACAAATTAATAAAAAAAAGTATGATTAAAAAATATTTGTTATGAAGGGTAGTAATTTATTTGTCAAAAATTACAAAATAAAAAAGTGATTTGAATAGACAGTATTATCCTTATCATTTCTTAAAAAAATATGAATTCCAAATCGTTTTTAATGAATTGATATATTAACGAGCTCCTCATGCCGGAGGCTCTATAACTCACAAGCCCCAAAACCCATGAGTATTGGAGAACTGAAATCTATGCCATGAAAACTTGTTGAGTGTTTTTTTTTTTTTCAAAAACCCAAAAACGGCGCCACTGATATCACATCTCAAAATCAATTCATCCCTTCTCAGATCTTGCACATTCATGGCTTTCATGGTTTCCATCCAGATTTTGCATATAAGAAAACACACCAGTACCACCGTATATTTAAACTAATCAGCAAAGGATTAAAAATCAATAGGGTTTTGGTAATCAACATGATTTGTAGATAAAGGAAACCACCCCAAAACCAAATAAGAAATCCATACACAAGTATATTGCCGCCCATTCAAATTAGATGCTAATATAGAGTTCTTTGAGATTCAGCTTGAGCATTGAGAGATTCGCTCTCTTCAGCGACCATCCCCCAACCTTAGCCATTATTTGCCTCTTATGAATTGAGAAGTAGTCTTGAAAACTGTTAAGATTTAATATTTTGTTTCAAAGGAAATTCCTGAATCTTTAATATGCTAATACAAACCTTCAAGAACCCTAGAAAGTTAATCAGGAAAATACACCGAACAAGCAACAAATATACAAAAATAGTCTTATGTAATTAATGATTTTAAAATGGTAATAATAATAATAATAAAGAAAAGAGGATATTTTTATGTCATCAGAAAATTATATTGATTTTATGATTTTTGACAAATAAATTATTGCCCTTCATAAAAAATATTTTTGGTCATACCCTTTTTATTAATTTGACATGTTCTACTAACCTTTAAGCAAATTTTCTAACACTGGATTAGGCAACTCCTTCAAATGATCATCCCCAAAACTCGGACGAGGACGGCACGTGTGCCATTAAATGAAACGAAGCGTTTGGGGTTCTCTTACACGTGTAAACTTCGTTGAACTTTACATTCTATATGACTGGATGAAATGAAATGGACAAAATCTTGCGGGCTGCAGTCATCCTGATATTTGATGGGTTGGACATCTTATAAACGGGTCTCTTATACATGATTTTATATACTCCCTCCGTCCCATAATTATTGTCCAGTTTTACTAAAATGAAAGATTTTATTTTTGGTCAAACTTAATTATATTTTACCTTAAACAACCGGATATACCCCTACATAAGTAATTGTTTAACCATTAAGATTTTATGGATAATGTTTTTTACTAAGGACAAATGTGTAACTTGATCCATAAAAAGTCAAATTGGACAATAATTTTGGGACAAAATTTTTTTGTCAAAGTGGACAATAATTATTGGACGGAGGGAGTATAATTATAATCTTGTGAGCTGCACTCATCCTCGTATACTCCTATTATTTTATTTTTTTATTTATAAATTAACGGGTCTCTGGTATTAATGGATCTATAATAAATGGGTCTATATTTGGCCAATTATAACCAATTTTTAAGAACCACGCAATTCCTAAGAAACTAGAGAATAGTGCTTTTGTGTGAACTTGGATTTTTTTTTTCATTAAAAAAATAATCTTTATTTATTCACAGTGTTGCAGACGTAAAGAAATTCTACACATAACAAGAGGTTCACTTTTATTATCTTAATTTTTTCCCAGAAACTTGGAAATGAAATGTACTATAGAGCATAGTAAAATTCAAAAAAAAAAAAAACAATCGAGTATTTAAAAACATGTTTTAGCTTATGAAAACAATGATTAATTGTACATGGTTTAGCTTCCGAAGAAACTTTTGCGTTTACAGAACAACCAACAATGGACATCTTTTGATGATACCCTGGTAAAAATAGTACTCCCTCCGTCCAAAAAAAAAGTCTAATTTGAAAGACTAAAATATAAAATTTAGATGACTTAATCTTGTAGATTAAAATGTTAATATGAAAAATTGAATGAAGTTTCATGACTATTTATCAACTCAATATTCAATTTTAGGTTATAATAATCTCATAACTCTAATTTTAAAATTTACATTTATTAAATTGGAATATTTTTGTGGGATAGGAAGTATTTTTTTCTCTTCTATTTTCCGTGTAAAATAATGAGCCTTACTTATACAGCACAATCTTTCTTTGTATTTTTTTATTTTTTTTGTTTTGGCATATCAATGAAAGTGTCTGAGGATTCAATTATATAATTTTATTCATATTTTTTAAAAAAATGTATTAATAGGATTGTACAATTTTTTTTTATTTAACCGATTTAAAATACATGCGGTCACTCGGGAATCCGCTCGGGCAAACATCTAGTAGTTTATTTAGTATATGTACCAATTCTTGTTTTTACTCATTTGTGTTGGTAAAAAAATTTAGGAATTTTAGTACCCCGCCAGCCTATATAAGAAAAGAGACTAGCCTAGGTTAACACAAACTCAATTTCACTTTCCACATCCTTCTTCACTCATCCGCAGCAATGTGCTTTTTCTTCCACTACCACACACAGTTTGGATGGATGGTTTGGTCCAACACCTAAGCTCCCTTGAGTTCCTTGCTAGTGATTTAGGTCTGTGCACTTGTTTCATCCCCCGCATTTGATCCCGATGTGTGTATCCACTGCGGGCATTCGATGTTATACAACATGCAAACCAGGAGGGTGGAACATGTTGTTTACCTCATTCTGGTGTTTTTCTCTTGGGCTTCCAGTTTGGCCTATAACTATTCCCCTTGTTTAGGAGCTTTTGAGATTATAGGGGATTTGAATTATTGTGAATTAGATTTGATGATGGTTTTTAAGTTCCTGATTTAAGTGATCTAAATTATTCTGAATTTGATTTGATGGTATTTGAATTCCTATGTAAGTGATCTGAATTATTGCGAATTAGACTTGAGGGTGCTTTTTAAGTTCTTGATGGAAGTGATCGGCATTATTGTGTATTAATCTGAAAGTGATCTTCTCGATGTAAGTAATTGGGTAATTGATTTAAATAATTAATGTGGATTACACCTTCTTTAAGTTCTGGAAGCAAGTGATGCAAACCATAGTGAATTTGACTTGATGGTGCTCTTTAAGTTCATGATGTAATTACCGATTCGTTTTAATGTAAATTAGATTTAAAGTTTATGATGTCCATCATTTGCTATAGTTTCCGCTATGTTAATCCCTCATCCTTTTCGACTTCATCTACCAATTCCGTCTCAAATTTCAAACTTTGCTCTTTGGAACTCAAGAAGGGGCTTTTACTCAGCACACACCCAATTGACAAACGGTGTAACACGAGATCGTTTTCTTAAAAAAACAAAAATGTAACACGAGATGTTCTCCATCTTATATATTCTGCCTTTTTTGCTGGTTTTGTAGTATATTCCTTTCGTCTAAAAATTTTGGTATTTCTGGCTGCTCACAAAATGACACCTATTGGACTCAAAATAGCATGATGATCAGATTGAGGACAATACATATTCATCTTATAAACAAACATTGAACACTTCAGCTTGTTTATTCTCCTTTCTTTTCTTCTTTTCCAATGTCACAAAATTTGGGCATATATAATCTCAAGAATAACTTAAAAGAATCGATTATGAATTAGTCACTTGCTTTTTACGGGCAATATGAAGGAAAAAGGTAGAATGCAAGAAGGTGGATTGATTGGGGGATCTGATGACAGTGGTTCCATGATTCATGAAAAACATGGGTCAAGTAACCAGCCACTATATACTGACTGTGTACGAAATCGTAAGAATTCGAAGGAAAATGTCATGCGAAAAACATTTAACTATTCATTTTGTCCCTTTCTAGTAAAGTTTTTTTTTGAACTAGAACATATAATAAGGTGAACAATTGAAAAATAATAGAGAGAGCAAAATGTAATGTCACGCAGCTGTTGAAGAAATATAAATTTGACTGCAAAGAACGTACCCATAGACATGATGAAATTGTTCGATGACTCTGATAGGAACGACCGACATGAGGAAATCACCTGTTCGGAGTTTGTTAAAACCAAGGGCATTTGTCACGTGAGCAATCAACTTAGTATGTTTCATCTTTCCTGAAAAGATGATTTTTTTTTTTTTTGTAAATTAAGTAAATATAGGAGTATTTTATTTTATTTTTTTTGGGAAAACAAACTATATATAATTTGAACAATGCAAAGGAGTATTGGTCCTATTGCTAATT